GCATCTCTAAACTTACTGAGTTACCTACGTAAGTGCGTGCCAGTTTAGTGTACAGGTAATAGTTATAATTGTTCGTAAGTTTCACTATAATAATATACTGTAGTTTAATTAAATTCTTTTTTCTCCAATTACATCCGATATTTTCGCTCGGACATTAAATGTTACTGAAACATGGAGTGACGTGAATAATTAATGATACGTTAACTACGAATTGTCATCCGCATGCAGCGTGGAAATAAGTTCGATGTAGACATTTCTATAACACCATGATATAATAAAACCTAAATATTCAAATTACAATTTCGAATATAAACATGACGTAAAAATTTAGTTATATCAATAGACACTCATGAGTCTATCTTTTTATAATAAATATAAAATTAATTTATAAAGTGACCCACCTTTTCTATATGGATGACCTCAAATTATTCGCCTCCAGTCACTACCATCTTATGGAATTGCTAAACATCACTTGTGAATTTAGCAATTCTATTGGAATGGAGCTGGCGACGGATAGGTGTGCGGTCCTCCATGTTGAAAGGGGAAGGGTTGCTAACTCTGTCCCGTCTCCGTTAACTTAAGAACCCTTTCCGAGGCTGAAACATACCGATACCTGGGTATGTCACAGAACATCGGTATCGATGAAGCTCGTATGAAACAGTCAGTTTGCGACATGTTTTATGCACGCTTGACCAAATTGATTAAGAGCCTTTCGTCCGGTGTGAATAAGGCACACGCATATAACGGCTGGGTCATGCCTGTCCTCATGTATACCTTTGGCATACTCAGGTGGACTCAGACTGAACTTAGCGCCCTGGATAGAAAAGTCCGCACTACCATGATGTTCCATAGGATGCATCATCCAAGATCGTCGGTAATGAGGCTGTACTTGCCGCGAAAGTATGGTGGGCGTGGCTTCCTGAGCGCGCTCACCATGCATAATCGTGAAGTGTGCAGGCTCCGTGATTACTTCCTGGTGAGATCGGATGATCCATTCTATAATGACGTCATTTCTAGTGATAAAGGTCTTACCCCTCCATCCTTAGCCAACGAGCATTGGCAGGACCCGGCAATACAAAGCATTTCCCACCGGGAGACCGTATGGAAGGAGAAGGAGCTCCACGGGAGGTACTACAGGGCTCTACATGAGCCCTTCGTAGATACAGTCGCTTCCCCTCAACTGGCTACGTTTCGGTGACCTTTTTGGGGAAACTGAGAGATTTGGGATACAGGATCAGGTTATTAAGACCAACAACTATCGGAGATACATCCTAAAAGATGGCACCGTCGACATCTGTCGATCTTGTCGCTATCCCGGTGAGTCACTTAGGCATGCCATCTCCAGTTGTTCGGCGCTTTCTAACTTTGAGTACTTGCACAGGCACAACCTAGTAGCCAGAATTCTAAACCAGGAGCTCGCTCTGAAATATGGTCTCATGGACCGGAAATTGCCGTATTACATGTAGTTGCCGGAAGTCGTGCTCGGAAATGATCGCGCCAAGCTCTACTGGGACTGAGCCATCATCACAGACAGGACTATTCTTGCAAATAAGCCTGATATTGTGCTGATGGACCGGGCACAGTCAAAGATATTTTTGACCGACATTACCATTCCGTGTGACAAGAACCTCGTGAAAGCCGAAACAGATAAACGAACAAAATATCTGGACCTGGCTCACGAGGTGACCGACATGTGGGGTGCTCTGCCGGCCGAAATTATTCCTGTAGTCGTCTTTGCGAATGGGCTAATTTCAGTCAGCCTCTCGGGTCATCTGAGGCGACTGGGACTCCGTGACGGACCGCTCCGGGCTCAAATGCAGAAGGCGGTGCTCCTCGATACCGTCCGCATCGTCCGCCGGTTTCTTTCCCTTTCCTTCCCAACCCATCGGCCGTTTGGTCTCCCCTGCCGAGGGCTTCCATCTGGTTGGATCTTATTTATTTATGTATTTTTGTATTTATTTTATTTTATTGATACATAGTTATCTTTTCATTTTAACTTAAAATTATATATTGATAGAACCCAACCAGATGAGAAAACTATATAGATACCCACATCATAATAAAAGTTTATTTATTAAGGTATCAACCCACTTATGTCAAGTACAAAGACAATGAATTAGAAGTTTTAAACACATACAAAATTACAAATTAAACTCTGTTATGAGTTAAAATATAGTACTTTTAATAATTGTTAATCATCTATAGCGTCTGATGCATACCCGGCCATTGTTTATAAAATATATTGTCAGGAGATACCCATGAGCAACGACCTTAACTAATTTGTTTCTTGAGTTACGTACAGTTTCCCAGAAACTGGCCGTTCTATAACGTAATATTGCGTAAAAGTCTGGAACAGCAGCCTCTGCGAACATTGTCGACGCACTGCAGTACCGTGGATGTTTAAAAAAAACATCATTATAATGTACTCTGAGGATGTTATAGGATTTTTTGGTGTAATTTATCCAAAGTTGTCTGATGTAAAAGGTAATACAATAGCCTTTAAAAATAGTAATCTTAACATCCTCAGAACACGAGGCAAAGCGATGCGCCAGCATATTACAACGTATAGCTAGAGCTCTACGTTCACGCTCAATATCCAAGTCGTCACTCAGGTTCTCTGACAACATATGACCCAAGTACCTGAAATTTTTCACAGTCCGAACCTGCACACGATTTATGCTTACTGACGGTACTCGTCTCGGATCCCTTCCAGTACGAAAGACTAGCATTTCAGTCTTAAACTCATTATATTTTAATCCATGCTGACGAGCATAATTTTCGCAGATGAATATAAGCTTTCTAAGACCTTTTATCGATTGGCTAAGGAGCACCATATCGTCTGCGTAGATAAGGTTGTTAAACGCTACATTAAGGTGATATCCAATTTTGGTACTCTAAGCTCCTCGATCAAGCCGTTAACATAAAGATTGAAAAGATCCGGGAGAGGTCAACCCTCCTTGACGTACCCCACATTGTAGTTTATAGCCACTAGAGGTTGTGTCATCCGACCTAACTTTATTTGTCTGGTTCTCGTACCAGTATCTCAGCAAAACCAGAACAGTGGCAGGTACATTGGAGTCATGTATTTTCCTCCATAATATACTATAATTAACAAGGTCAAATGCACGACTCAAGTCCAAAAAGCAGGCGTAAACAGATTTACTACGTCTTTTATAATAGTGCGTCTTTTACAACGTGCTTAACGGACAGTATAGCAGAGTCGGTAGAAACACCGGCACGAAAACCAAACTGAGCATCACTTATCCTAATATTTGTCACAAGTTCGGGCTGTAGAAGTCTTTCAAGCACTTTACCAACTATCGTGCCCAGAGAGATAGGGCGGTAATTGGAGATATTAGAGAGGTCACCGTTTTTATTCTTAACGACAGGTACAACAATAGTCTGTAACATTTTATCAGGCAGATATGTATGTTTAATACATAGGTTAAAAAGTAATGATAGAGAATCAAATAGTTTATCACTGGCATAGAGAAGGTGTTCAACACTCAAGCCATCTTTAATTAATAATGATCTTAATTTTGAGTTTTTTTTTAAACTTAAATAAATGTGAAAAGTGAGTCCAATGTATGGTAAGTGGATACTGTGGTCCAATGAAACCTTCAATTATCACTTCGTCGGTGCTTCACGTCAACTACGTGTCAAGTAAATGAACATATAGTTGACGTGAAGCACCGACGCTCCGAGAAGCCTGCAGTCTGTGAACGTGTTTAAGATCGTTGTCTCCATCACTTTACATTTAATAGACCACAAATCCTCGCAAAATAATACCGACTCCTATCAAGGATGCAAGGTGCCAAGGCTATTGAAATTAAAAACATCTTACTTTCAATAAAGATGGCTGGGTGCGACCATCTGCTTCAGAATCCTTTAATTAATAAAATTAAATCCAAAACTCAAGCATACCACTGCAATATTTCAAGATACTGTAAGCTTATATAAGGTTGATATGGTAGAGCCCCGTGGCAGCTTTTGTTATTGCACGTATGGCCGGCTCGAACAGGGGTGTTACCACAACCTCACAGAAAATCAGCGTGAAGTACAAGCTCTGTTTCTCAACAAGGTACCGGAATGAAATGTAATACTACCCCAGGACGTTTTTTTCACGCTTACCACGTGCACGGCAGTTAAGTAAAACATCAGGGAGAAACTTGCATATCTGAGGAATGAAGTATTTCTGGTGCATATGGAGTCTACGAACATGCGCTGGAACAGCGTGGCAGAATTGCCCTATTATCTTCTCAGAAATTAAAGGAGGTCTGCACCCAGCATTAGAACATATCGTCGGTCGAAAACAGTAGTGGAACATCTCTGAAAATTTGGTTTTTAACTTTTTAAGAGTGTTACATTACTATTTCAGTGCCAATTCTATATCAGTATCAGAATAAGTCAAACTCCAGATAGAAGTCGATTAAAAATGAAAGTTCCACTTCTACTCTGTGCATATAGTATTATTCAGTATTGGGACACTTCGAAATGTTCCAAAACGGTTCCAATCTCAAAATCAAAAGTTGAATTTATTCCACCACGCTTCTCGATCTCGCTCGAGTCTCGCGCGCGTTTGTTTAGTTACGCTTACGCGCTGCATGCTGCGCTTGGTAGACATATTGTCAAAAGTAATACAATCTGCAAAAATGTCTGTGTCTAAGTTATATGGAAGATCAATGAAAATATTGCAAATGGTAATCCATGAAGACGCCAATATTGAAAACAAAGGAGTGTATTTGTAACGTTTGTGTATTTTGTAGAGTCGTTACTTTTAAAATTTTGCACGCTTTAGCTATATTTTTAACCACTTTTATTCTACAAAAAGTGAGATAAAGCAAGTTGAAGAGTATTCTTTGCCACAAAATGAAGTACAAAGCCTAGGTAAATAACTTATGTATTTTATAAGATATGCTTATTTATTAACTTTTGTGCTTTATATCTAATAAATGTTATTAAAAAATTCTGTCCTATTAACAGCTTTTATTGCTTTTAAGATGCTGAACAGACTTTGAACATAGAAAAATCTCCAGACACTATTTTTATATCTAATAATGATGAAGTTGGTGAAATACAGCAATATGTTGAAGAGAATTCTTGGCCCCTGAATGAAGTACATAATCGAAGTACGTACCTATCTTCATGTATTTAAGTACATAATAGAGGTACCTACGTACCTATCTGCATATATTATTTTTGTGTTTTGGTATAGTGTGTATATTTAACTGTTTGAATTTCTTTTAAGGTGTAGAGCAGGTAATAAATATGGAAAGTGTACAGACGATAAGGTTCGTAGCCAGCCAGCATGAGCCAGCAAATGAAGCTTCTAATCTAAGTATGATATTTTGTACTATTTTAATAAACTAGCTTGCTGCCCATCAACATGTATTTCATAGTTCTAAATTATTTATGCAATAGCTTTAAACGGGGTCTTTGTTTGCTTAGGCGGCGAGCTTATTTAAATTTTAGGGGGAGGAGAAGATAAAGAAAATAATATACAAAATAACAGAGAGCCGTCACCATCAACCCCGCTTTCTAAAAATAATGCTTCGGAAGAAAAGAAGAAGTTGACAAGAAAGAGACAACGAAATCCCGAGGCATGGAAGAAAAATAAAAATAAATGTTTAAAAAATTCAGGTATGGCTTACACTACTGAGAAAGGAAAATTAGTTAATGCTAAACAATTAAAACCTGGTTGTGGAGACAAATGTCGGTTGAAGTGTACACTGAAGATTAATGAGCAGCAAAGATTAAGTAATAATAAATAAGTAATATTCAATAATTTTTGGAAATTAGGTGATTTGAATGGACAGCGAGATTTTGTCAAAAATGCTATGAAAGAAGTAAAGCTGAAATATTCGCTACATAATGCTCAGAGTAAATTAAAGATCTATTAATGCGGCTTATCATTTAACAGTAGATGGTATAATTATAAGGGTATGTAAAAAGTTCTTTATGCACACTTTGGATATTGGGCACTCATTTATAACGACGTTATGTAAGAAAACAACATCATCGGGTATAGTTTTAGAAGATTTAAGAGGTAAGCATGACAAGAAAGGTAAACTACTCGCATTACCTGACTTTGTTAAGGATGGAGTACGTGAACACATAAAATCATATCCTACTAAGGAATCACACTACTGTCGAGCATCATCGATTAAACAATATTTTGATGGTGATTTAAATCTATGTATGATGTACAGGCAATACAAAGAGTGATGTAATAAAGAAGGTAAGACTGAAGCTAAACAAGGAACGTATGAAAACATTTTTAGAACTGAATTTAATATAGCTTTCCATGTACCAAAGAAGGATCAGTGCTCTCTTTGCTGTTCTTACAATAATGCAACAACAGAACAGAAACAAGAAATGGAAAAGAGTTATAAAGATCATCTTACAGAAAAAGAGCTTTGCAGAGAAGAAAAGAGGATAGATATAGAAACATGCGAAAATGACAAACAAAAGATTATTTGTTGTTATGACATGCAAGCGGTTCTTCAAACTCCAGCGGGTAATGACTCGATATTTTTTACTTGGACACTTATCAACCTTACAGTACAATGAAATGTTTCAATGTTCGGCATAAAATGCGGGGCAAGCCTAACGAAACCTTAGTTTTGACAAATAAATATCGCACTCGTCCTGAAATATCAAATCTTAAAAAGAAAGAATTGATTTCATTATGTGATGGTAAAGTAATTCCAAACGTTTATTGGGATTATTATAAAACATTGCCAGCTTCCTCAGATAAAGCTGACAATGACTAATTGTTCCCTTTTTTATATTTTCTTACTTATAAATAAAAAAATGTTATAAAACTATAAAAGTGTTTTATTGATTATTCTCTAAAAATGCAATTATTTGCTAAGGTTCTCTAAATTTTTAAGTCATTACTTAAGAAAAATACATAGTCTTTTAATTCAGTACTGGTACATTCAAAAATAATCCATTGTCAGAGGGATATTTGCAGTCAATAAATTAATTCAGTGGTGGAACATTTCAAATATTTACTTATACTTAAAAAACAAATAATAAAAAATGATTGAATTTAATAGAAATCATAAATATAAGGTTTAACCAAAATATAACAACATTAAAAACAATATTTTTTTCTCTAAGCACTTGCTAAATGGAAAAATAAATATTTCTAATTTTTAACTGCTCAATATCTCACATTTACTCATTTTGAAATGTTCCACTACTGTTTTCGACCGACGATATATGGGCTGCCACTTTACTTTATTTTAATTTAATGATTTCTTATATTTACGCGAACACTACATATTGATTAAAACTACTTTTACGGATTTTATCGCGTTTATTTTACTTTTAATTACTTTTATTTTTAATTCCCGGCGTTTCGGGCGCTTTCCAGCACCCATAGTCACGGGGGGACTGAGATGACTGACGTCCCGATGTCATTGTTAAACCCGGAGTACCTTCAGCTCTTTTAATTATTGTTTATGGTCCGATCTATGTTTATCTATATTTTTTATTTTAATTTACTTAATTAATAAGAACTGCAGCTATATTACGGTAGTAGCACGAAGGTTGGTTCGACCGGGGTAGAGCTACGCTCTCACAGAATGCCTGCGTAGAATAGCATCTTTAGTAACCGGAGACGCTTTTTACTGAAAATAAAGCATTCCATCTTAGTCCTCAGGGGTGTCAACGTATCTGCATTTTGATTCTTAATTAAGGTTAAATGTATAAGATATCTATGGGCCACAGCATTCACTTATCGTCAGATGGACTCTGTGTTTGTTTGTCACACATATTCTATAAAAAAACTGTGAAAGGACTCCTTTTCTCTCTTGTGGTCCATACCATATGGACTAATAGCTTATTTGTAAATTTTTTCTTCTTTATCGGCCCGTTTACTACCAATAGTGGACATGGCTTTGCCCTTGTAAGAAAGATTTGCCTTAATTATCACGCTTCTCAGGTGTATTGATTGTCACAGTGCCAGACGTGTCGCACCTTAAATATTGCTTGGTATCTGTCGTTGGCCTGAATGTTTAACGTTTCACATAAAGGACATGATTATCATGCTATCTATCGGAAGCCAGAGAAGCAAAGATTCTTTTGACATTTTCCATAGTTGCCTATTACGCCACCCATGAGACGCAAAGGGTGATTAATATTCTTATACCACAACCACGCGAGAGTTATAGCTATATTTTAATAAAATGGTTTTATATATAAGCTTAACCACAGTCACTAAATCGGTAATGTACGAATTTTAGTAGTAATATGGATTTTATAGCGAATGGACGTCGAAGGAGATTTTTATTAGGTCGTATACGAAATGGGGTATCGGCATTTGCATGCAAGGTCGATTTACTATAGGAAGTGGCATTCTAAATGGAACTTTGTCGCTGTTCGTACTTAACTTATGTTATGTTGTTCGTTTTTAAACTAATTCCCTACGATTTCAAAGTTTCTTACTTTTTTTGCTCATAAATGAGGAAAGAAATAAGATTTTTACACTAAAATTAAACTTTATTATTGTAGTTAAACACAGCATTGCAGGAAACATGACGCAAGACAAACAAGCCGAAATGCTGCGTGGCGGCAGAATCAGATACGAGGGTGGTTGCACTCCAGACTTCTTGGTAGAAAAGATACCTTACCACCTAGTGCAACTATAATAATACTGAACTCAAAAAAAAGTTTAATTAATTCCTTGGTGATAACGGAACAATTAATTCGACGCGCTGCTCCAGTGTCTATTGTGTATACATGTCGCAGCCAACCAGCTTAATTAGCCGTTTAATCAACATCCTAGCCTCTACTAAACAGCGCCGTTCAACTAGCGGCCTGAATGATATTTAGCCGTATCGTTTGTTAGAACATTTAATAAACTGTTTGGCTAATGCTTAGGCCATTCGTACTATAGGGTTAAACAGATTTGTTCGACTAGCAGACTAAATCATATTAGCCCGTGCATTTTAGGCTAATTAGGTACTACGCGCTATATTATATAAATATACGCGGTGTTGGGGTGGCCCAAAGGCTGCACACTAACCTACTGTCGTGATATTACAAGATAGTTGCAAAAAAAGTAGACGCAGCGACTGAATATCATTCAGGCCCCTAATTAAACATAAAAAGGCTAAGCAGTTAATTGAACAGCTAATTAAGCTAGTTGGCTACGACGGCATCCATTATTTTTCATTAAAATTTGGAAAACACCATCAAATTTGTTGTTTGCCGACGCCATATTGACAGTTTGTAGAGTTTTAGCGCTAGGTGGCTGAAAGTGGACAAGTAATGAAACGTCATCGATCATTTGCCTAGCTTTTTTGTTCAAGTAACTGAATATCATTCAGACTGCTAGTTAAATGGCGCTGTTTATTAAAGGGGGCTAGGCTGTTGATTGAAAGAATAATTAAGCTAGTTGGCTGCGATATACGAGTACATATAAAAATATTTTATGCAGTGTAGGCTTTCGGCCGTAAATTTAAAACGTTAAAATCTATTAGACGTCTCGTACATTTGATACTGCTCCCCATCGCCAGTCTAGGACTTTTTTGTGTAACCTACGTAATTGATATGATCCTACCTATCTATCTAACTCCATGGGATCTATCTTGAGTTAATACCAGAAGTCTTACGCCATCACCGCACCTTTTTAATATTAAAATCAACCATAAATAATTCAGTGTACACTTACAATGCCTCTTCTTTGTTGACATAACCACAAGTTCACTGCCAAACAAAATGCTCCCCTAAATACTACAAAGTCTGGCTCAATCCATCCATATGGTGCATTCATAATCGATGAATGCAGCCTGTTATGGACTTTAAAATCTACCAGACAGCTAGAAACTTTACCTCATATGCCCGTTGCCAGTCTAGGTACCTTAAGTCTATCAAAATGGAGATGGCTATCGGCATCTATCTAAATCCATGACATCTTGCTGCCAAAATTAAAAGTCACTTCTCACACAACCACGTGTGACCGTGCGTGCGTGCCTGTGTGTGGGTGTGTGCGTTTGTGTGCATGAGTGTATGAGTTCGTGTGTGAGTGCGTGCGTGCGTGCGTGCGTGTGTGCGAGCGTGCGTGCGTGCATGTGTGCGAGCTTACGTGCGTACGTGAGTGCTTTCGTGCAGTATTATGTATTTTACAATATTTAATTTCTAAAGTTAGTTGGAAACAACTGCAAAAAAGGTGTGTCGTATAACTTATTCTCATGAATGTCAGCATAATTTATTCTGGAATATTTTATCACGTATTTTTGAAATATTTTATGCACGTGTAAAGTAAATTCTGAGCCAAACCCTTCAAATGATTGCTATTGTTGCGCGCCACAATTAATGCCTGGTATTTGGCGACACTAGTTACCACTAGCGCCTTCTAG